CATTGGCTACACAGAAAAGTCAAAAGGTTTTCATTTTCTACTGTCCAGAGAGACATACAAAGTTTATGGAAACGAGACACGCTGTCTTCCTAGAGGATGAATTGATGAGGGGGAGCATGGTAGCTCGAGAAATTGACCTTGAAGTGAAGTGGGTGTATGCGCCCACTCCAATGATTCATAAGCCAATTTTCTCACTACCTGCTATCGCTGCACCAACAGTGCTAGATACTGTGGTGCCAGCACCTGTTGTTATCCCACCTATGGCAACAATGAATGACGATGAGGAACCTGTTCTTCAGGATTCTATAGAACCTATTGCCACACATGAGGGGGAGCAACAACAGCCTCAAATAGAAGATGTGCCAAATGTGAAGGCCCCTAGTAGGTCTCAAAGAGTTAGAAAATCAGCTATTTCTGCTGATTATGAAGTGTATAACACTAAGGAATTTCAAATGGAGGATGATCCCACCTTATTTGAAGAAGCCATGAGAAGTGATCATTCATCAAAGTGGCTTGAGGCCATGGAAGATGAAATGAAATCGATGAATGTCAATAAAGTTTGGGATTTGGAAATAATTCCTAAAGGAGTCAAAACAGTAGGCTGTAAATGTGTCTACAAAACTAAACATGACTCTCAAGGGAATATAGAGACATATAAAGTGTGACTTGTGGCAAACGGCTTTATGCAAAGAGAAGAAATTGATTACAATGAGATCTTTTCTCTAGTCTAATGTAAAGTTTCCTTCAGAATAATAATGGCATTAGTGGCACATTACGATTAAGAATTACATCATATGGATGTAAAGACGACATTTCTCAATAGAGACTTGGAGAAAAATATTTACATGGTACAACCGAAAGGTTTTGTTATGGAAGGAAAAGAATGAACGGGATGCCGTCTAAAGAAATCCATTCATGGATTAAAACAAGCTTCAAGACAGTGGTACTTGAAGTTTGATCAGACAATAAAGAATTTTGGGTTTAAAGAGAATGCAGAGGACAATTGTGTCAATACAAAGTTTGAGAATGGGAAGTTTATCTTCCTTGTCCTGTATATAGATGATATCTTACTTGCTAGTAGTGATGTCAGCCTACTACTGAAGACAAAGAAATTTGATATGAAAGATCTTGACGAAGCCTCGTTCGTTCTAGGGATAGAGATTCACCAAGATAGAAGAAAATGGTATAAGGACTGTCACAAAAGGCATATATAGAAAAGATCTTAAAGAAATTCAGTATGCACAAATATAGTTCCTCACCTGCTCCTATAGTCAAGGGCGACAGATATAGGGATTTTCAATGCCCTAGGAACCAATATGAGCTCAATCGATAAAGTAAAAGTGGTTCCATATGCTTCAGCTGTCGGAAGCTTGCAACATGCTCAAGTATGTACGCGCCCTGACTTGGCATTTGTTACCGGGTTTTACTTGGCAGATTCCAGAGCAATTCTGGAATAGAACACTGAAATTAGTAAAGAAAGTCTTACATTATTTGCAAGGAACGAAAGGCCTCATGATGACATATAGAAGATCTGATTTACTCCACATGGTGGGATATTCAGATTCTGATTATGCGAGAGTGAATGCATATCCAGACGTGAATTTTCTATCATCTCGTAAAGGGGAGCTATTTCATGGAAAAGCTCAAAGCAAACTGTCACTACATCGTTCATAATGTATGACAGTTTGTAGCGTGTTATGAGGCAACGAGCAGGTGAACTAACTAATGAAGTTCATACCCGGTTTGAAAGTGGTTGACGACATCTATAGACCACTAAAGTAATACTGCGATTATAATCTGGCAGTACAGGATGCTCACAACATAAGTCAAGTGGGCTGCCAAACACATTGACATAGAGTATTATGTTGTGAAAGATAAAGTCCGGGATCAAGTCATAAGTTTTGAGCATATAAGTACAGAAAGGATGCTCGCGGATCCGCTTACAAAAGGCTTACCACCCAACATGTTCAGAGAACATGGTGTTCAGAGAACATGTAGCTAGCATGGGTTTAAGGGAAAGCCTAAAATATTTTTAGATAAAAGAAGGCCCAAAGATAAGTATCTATTTCAGAACAGAGTAGTGTGTTGTAGCTGTTAAGTCTATCGGCAATGGACCGTGACGATGAGACATGCTCTATGCGCTAATCTGTAATGGAATGAACAAAAGTAAATGATATGAAAGTGAAAGATGGAATGAGATCAAGGGGGAGAATGTTAGTTGATCTCCACCAATAGGCCCAACGGCCTATTGGGCCCTTATCTCTGCTCCCTGATCGGAGGAGCCCAACCCTAATCCGGTTGGTGGGCCCCTGTCGTACAGCACACATAAAAGGAAGGTGGGGATGAGGGATCGGACTACGAGGTTCGCCGAGAGCCACCACCCCCACCTACAGTAACCCTAAACCGATCTAAAGACCGTGTTGCCAGCGACGGGATGTGCCCCAACCACCGTCGTCGCACCTCTGCAGGGCCACCACCGGACCACGGCAGTACCACTACGGACTCCACCAAGCCAGAGCTGCCGCGGCAATGGCGTCTACCCGCTGTGGTGCATCTATGGAGAAGACAAGGATGAGGTTTTCCCTAGATCTACCGGTTACAAACAGAGAGGTACACATTTCGATCCTAACACTGCAGAGACTCCACGGTTGCGAGCAGAGCCCACAGAGGTCATCATCGCTGTTGACCATGCCTGCGTCGATGTTCCGCCGTCCACAGCTGGCCATGGAGGGCCGACCAGAAGAACAACTTTACCTTCGGTGGCGCCGTCGTCTTCCATAGCTCAGGGGCACCCAGTAGGAAGGAGGAACCATTGAAGAACGCTCGATAAGTTGAGGATGCGGAGTAGACTCCACTCGGCGACCATCTCCTACACAAAACGATCCGGCACAAACGGCTAGAGGACGACGCCATTGACCAGTTCCCACACACGAATGTAGTCACATAGTACCAAGTTCAATAATCCCACCGGCCTCGTTCGCTTGGCTGAATTTGGCTAAAAATATAAGCCAAAACACTGTTCCGGCTAAATTGTTGTGAGAGAAAAATACTGTTTCGGTTGAAAAATGAAGTCGAACAAGCCGAATTTTAAGACAAGTGAACGGGACCTCCCAGAGCCTAATTTGCTGCAAGCCGTGCGTATATCCCTTCCTCATCCCCTACACAGTAGTTCAATGTACTTGCATGATCATCTTAACAAAGACATTGAATTCAGTTCAATCAAAACGTGCTAAGATACACAGTAAACTGCCCAAATTCAACAAAACTCCGTCCAGATGTACTGAAATTGTAAGCTCCAAATTTCAGAATTGACCTTGTTCGCTGGGAGGAATCTGAATAAAGCTGGAGAAATTTGTGAGAGAATAAACAGTATTTTTAGCCGTGAGCAGTGTTTTTCCGGCTAGTTTCCTGAGTAGCCGAACAAGCCCAATATGTACTTCCAGCTTCACGTCAAATGCAAGAGCTCCAGAACCCCGATCAATTCCCAGAGCAACTGAGCAAGCAATCAAAATGAGGCCTTGTTTAGATTAGGATTAGGAATTAGTATTTGGCACTGTAGCACTTTCGTTTGTATTTGATAATTATTGTCCAATTATGGCTTAACTAGGTTCAAAAGATTCGTCTCGTAATTTACAATCAAACTGTGTAATTAGTTATTTTTTATCTATATTTAATACTCCATACATGTGTCCAAAGATTTGATGTGATAAAGTGAAAGTAAAAAAACTTAAAATCTAAACAAGGCCTGAGAAAGAAGTCGCAGTGTTACATGCCTGAGATCACGGTGGCCCATTCGTCCTGAAATTGGAAGCCCGACCCCCGAAGCACTTCCCTGCAAGACTGCAGGACGGGCTCGGACACTGCAGAATCCAGCAGCCACAGCCCGGCAGCGCCCCGGAAGTCGGTTCCAGAATCCATGACACTGGTCGGAAGCGGAATCGGAACTGCAAGTCCATCCTACCCTGCCACGGACGGACCCGACTTCCGACGACCCCGGCCTAAGACTGGCCCCGTTCGTCCGTTTTTTTTATCCAAAACAATATTTTTCTCTAACAAATTTTTTCAGATTCACGTAAATTCCTCTAAATTCCTCCAAACGAACGGGATCAATTATCTCCACCCATAAGGACACCTAAATGTAAAATGGGCCTGCGAGTATCGGTCTCCAACAGAATACAAGACCTATTTTAGGTGTTATAAGAGGCATAACCTAAATCTAAGTATCCTCTCTCATAGAGACCCATTTGCAGAAATGTTTCTCTTTTGGGTCTTACTGTTGGAGAAGATTAAAAATAGGTATTGAAACATTTGCCTGTAGTACTACCCAAATATGATATGAGTGTTGTATTTTGGTTCGGAGGTAGTCTAAAAGTATGGTTAATAACTTAGCCGGCAGTCGGCTATATGACATTGCCACATCATATAAAAGCTAATACTGTAACTAACTGATATAATAGGCTAACCATTAACCGACTATTAGGTTGGTTCAACACAGTGAGCATTTAATGTGTGCGTGTACATACACGATCTAGTACAGTCTAGTATCCCGTGTGGCCCTTCAGGCGTGGGAGCTAGGAGGGCAGTATCGGCGCACGGGATCAGGAAGTTGGGATGTGGGTCAAGCAAGCGCCGAGTTATCGGCGGCACTGGGCTGACAGCAGGCGTTTCTATCTCGTAACACGTAATTCAGCCGGGCGTTTCATGAACCGCCCGCTTCCTTCTCTCTCATCTTCTCACTGCTCCACTTACGATTTTGACGACGTGTAACATGGTGCAGCCTGCTGACTAAGCCTTATTATACTTGCTCTGAAACACGTATCCGAACAAGGTTCGCGCTTGGGCTTGGTCCCGTTCCCGTACTATAAAAACAGGAGAGCGAGGGGCGCGCTCCGCATTCACCAACTCTCGCTCGTTCATGAAACAAGTCACGCACGAAGCAATCTAGCTTTCCGCGCATGCGTCTGCGTGCTCAAGCGGCGACCGAGCAAGAAGATCGATCGATGGCGGAGAGGCAGGAGGTCTCCGGCGGCGGTGCGGCGGCACCGATGTGCGCCAACAGCTGCGGGTTCTTCGGGAGCGCGGCGACCAGCAACTTCTGCTCCAAGTGCTACAAGGAGCACCTGACCAAGACCGCCGACGCCGTCGTTGCCATCGACGAGAAGAAGATCGAGGCCGCCAAGGCTGCTGCTCGCGTGCCCGAGCAGATGGGTGGTCAACAAGATCCTGACGCCACCGCTGCCGCTGCAGTGGCCACGGCCACGCCGGTTGCTCGAGCGCCGACAGGGAAGGAGAACGCGAACGGTGGCCCCTTGGAGACGCTGAAGCAGGAACTGGAAGCATCCGGCCGCCGCGGCCTCATCGAGTGCGCGAACGCGTGCGGTTACTTCGGGTACCCAGCGACCAACAACCTGTGCACCCTCTGCTACAGGGACTTCCTCAAAAGCGTTCACTCCGCCCCTGCCGTGGCGGACAAGGTCGTCCTCGCTGCCGAGCAGCCGGAGGCCCAGAGCTCCACTGCAACTTCCAGTACTGCACCGGCGGTGAAGGCGGCGCCGAACAGGTGCGTGTCGTGCCGCAAGAAGGTGGGGCTGCTGGGGTTCCCCTGCCGCTGCGGCGCCACGTTCTGCGCGCTGCCACGTTCTACGCAATTTTGGTTAGGCGATCATCATGTATTTGGTTGCATTGTTGTACTGTTAGTGTTAGCAGTGAGAACAGATCGTTATGTCACCGATGTAACATTCTTATATGCTATATCAAGCTGAGAAGTTTGAAACTTTGAAAAGGATGAATGATGAATGCTGTTTGTTTTGATGCTCCTGTTCCTGCAGATCTTTGCCGTTAGGCCCCGTTCGCTTCGCTGGAAAAACAAGCCGAAACACTGTTCCGGTTGATTTGTTGTGAGAGAAAAATACTGTTTCGGCTGAAAAAACAAGCTGAAAAAGATAGTGTTGCAGTTGTAGGTAATTTGGTGATGTGCCATAGGATTCCCCCAAGCTATCAATACGCCTCGCTTTGGATATTTGGAAGAACAGCAAAAAGATGGCATTGAGATGAAGTTTCCTAGTAATCCAACTGATATTATGTATATTGCAAATACAAACAGATGGATGAGCAAAAGATGTTTCATGAAGAATTATTTCAGATTTAATAATACATTTCTTTTTTAAAAAGAACTTGATAAAAACCAGAGAAGTTTTACTTAGAAGTTGGATAAAATTGAAGTATACTGTAGCTTGGATGGGTGTCTTTTAAGTTTGAAAAATAAAAAGAAAAATCTATTAAGGGTCATATTAGCATAGCTTCGGATTTGGTTTTTTTTTTGGTGGTTTTTACTGTGAAGCCGTGCCAAATGGTCATTAGAAACGGCTCTTTGTAAGGAGTGCAGACGAGCTGGAGTGGTTTTCGTACTGGCTTTAGGCCAAGCCTTGCCAAACGGTCATCCAAGAAGTGGCTATAGTGAAGAAGTCTGCAGCGGAGCCATTTTTCTACAGAAGAGCTAGAGCCACGAAAACGTGACTTCTCTCGGCTTCTTCTCACAAACTTGACATAAATTATAACAAAATTAGGACTAAAGTCATGTTTGGTAAACGTTTTCCACAGCTACAGCTAGAGCTCCAACGGAGAAAAACTACTTTACAAGAAGTCAGAGCCCGAGCAGAGCTCTGCTCCATATCTGCCAAACTTTTTCCAATGGCTTCAGGCTTCAGCTCCGAGGAGCGGTTGCCAAATTCCTTATCCCGCGTGGGCGTGGCATCCACAAAGTCCCACGGTTTGTTTCAATGGCTTCGCCGCCGTGTCTCCTCTTCCGCCCCCGGCCGCCGCTATGCAGCTGCCGCCGCCGCAGCAGGTCCCCCTACCTCCTTCTTTCCAAGCAGAGCCTGCACCGACTTCCCTCACCAAGAACATGCCGCCGTCCAGTGGTGGCGGCAGTGGCAGAGCAGCTCGTACCGCGGCCGCCCGGTACCGGCCGGCGGATGGGGGCGACTGAATTCGCCTGCCACTGTTCCTACGACACCGAGAACGGACTGCCCACGCCTTCACCGGATAAGGTGCGTGAGCTATGAAAATGCTGCTGTGAGCACAAGCGCATAGCACCAAAAGCTGTGAGCTTTATTTCAGAATTTTCAGTTGTCAGTCGTGAACAATTGCCTTGCCATTATGTTATTTTGGTAGGGAAAAAGCTTGGATGAGTGGCCAGTCCTTCGCCGGTGGGATGTTCCATGGGAGTGGCCAACGATTTCCCTCACCATGGTGGCATGTGCAGTAAGGTAATATACTACACCTTTGCTGATTGGCACCATGCATTGGCACGCACTTCCAATTATTATGACGTTGTGTAAGAAGAAATCCATTTTCCATCCAAAAAAATGGAAATAAAAGAAACCCCGCAAATATGTAATGCGGAGATTAGTTTGTGGTGTTGTATTATTCTTGTGTGATCGCAACCCAAAATAACTAGAGCATATTGAATTGTTGCAAATGCCCCCTTGAAAATGTTGCTGAATGTTCTTTAGACAGCTTTCTTTTGACAGGGATGGTTGAGCAATCTATTTTGGAGCAACTAGGTTTTCAAGCTGGGGAGACAACTCTAGATGAGAAGGCAGAAATACTCTTCTTGGGACAACTGTACAGATCTAGGTTCCTATCTCTATGTAAAAACTTTATTTGTATCAGAATTTTCAATCTGATTTGTGAATATGCTGCATGCTCTGAATATCTTGTGTCAGAGTCTCATTACTTGCCATTTTCTGTTTCTGCAAGTGCAGTAGCACGACAGTAGTTGTACTTGGAGTTATATTTGGCATCACCAGTACATTTCGACCATTCTCAGATGATATATTTCGCTATGGTAAAAGTTTGATCTTGCTACGTCTATGTTCATTTACATGTTCTTTCCTATACATCAGTCACACATTAGTTCCTTTCCAAAGATTACCTAACTTAATAAGAGAACTGTGCAAGATGTTTAAGTGCAATGAAATTACTTAATATCTAATACGGATATTTGTGTTCAATAGTAACTATTTACGTTTGTACTATGGTTGTGTTGTGCTAATTCAGGTTGTTCTTAAGCTGTAGACAACTGTCTAGTGATGTTCGTATCCTTAAACTTTCAGAATTCAAGGAACCACTTAAGCTGCAAAACGGTTGGCTTCTGTGGTCTGAAATCGGCCTATTTGTTGCAATAGTTGCTATTGCTTTAGCAGGTGCTGTAATGACATTTTCTGAATGGTGAAACACCACAGAGAGAGGTACAGCCTTTTTATGCTACAAGAACTGTCTTCTGTTGCCCTTTCCTTTTTTAAAGTCTTCAAATGTCTTAAGCAGTACGGATGTCATACGTCTTTGTTATTTTGACAGAAAAACTAAAAAAAGATATTTATAGGAAATATGAATATTGCAAGTTAACAGATCTGGAAGAAGACCCCCACCCACCCCCACCCCCCCACCCACACACAAATGTAGATATTAATTTCATGGTATAGTTCTTGCATACACCAATCAGCCTGTTCGCTCGCTCGTATACGATCCTTGATTATAAGCTGGAAACAATATTTTTCTCTTACACCAAACCAGCCAGCAGTAAATAATCCACGATCGTTTACGACGAAACGAAAAGGCTGATACCACGTAAATGTGAAAGTCCAGCATTTCATGAACTAGCTAAATATTACCTATAGTGATCCAGTTCTTGAACCTTGTCTTTCAGCCGGACTCGCTGGTCCTATTGTTGCCGCTGATTGGCTCATCAAACGTTAGGTATGGACATATGATTTATCTGTTTTCTTTTTTTTCTTAGGCCATGTTTGGTTGGGCTGTGGTTTTTGAAAAAACAGCTGTAAGCTGTGGCTTTTAGAAAAGTAGCTGTCAAAAAGTCAAAAGCCCGTTTGGTTCAGCAGCTTTGGCTTCAGAAGAGCTCTCTCTCACAGATGAGCTGACCCCACTTGTCAGGATCTTCCATCTCGTTCTTCTCGTGCGTGCACAGGAAGGTGAGGCCAGGGATGGGGAGCACCGGCCGGCAGGGGAGGAGCCGGACCTCGTGCGGCCCGACCTGGGACTTCGCGCAGCCGGAAGGGGAAGAGCTCGCGCCGGCCATGGGGAAGGAGCTCGCGCTGGCCATGGGAAGAGCTCGCACCGGGCAAGGGGAAGGAGCTCGCGCGCCGCCGGACATGTGGAAGGAGCTCAGCGCCACACTGGAAGGACCTCATGGCCACTGGAAGGAGAGAAGTCGTACCCGTGCGCGCCGCCGGGAAGAAGCAGCGGCCGGTGAGGGGGCAGAGGCCCGCACGCCGCCGGAGAGGGGAGGAGCCGGACCTTGCGCAGCCGGATCTGGGACCTCGCGTGGCCGGTGAGGGAGCAGCGGCCGGTGACGGGGCGGCGGAGCTCGGCCGTGGCGTGCGAACCCGCGCGACCTCCACTTCCTTCGCATCTGACGGGAATAGAAGGGGAAAAAAACGAAACGGTTTGACAGGTGGGTAATTTTTTTTTTGCTCCAAAAGCAGGTGAAAGCAGGAGGAGGGCTACTTTCAATTTTGTACTTTTGTACTAGAGCAAAAGCAGCTGTGGCTTCTGAGCCCTTTGGTTGGTTTTTGGCTTTTACAAAAGCAAAAGCAGATCGAAAAGTCCAACCCAACAGGGCCTCAAGCTATTACAAGTTATTGCATGTCTGTATATAGGTCAGGCAAGATAAACTACTTGATTGTTTAACATCTTTTCTTTTATTGCAGCACTGCTTGTTTGCTGGGCATCACTGGGATTTTGGCACCCATTCTGGAGGAAACTGTGTTTCGAGGATTTCTTATGGTATCCTTGACTATGTGGTAAATATGCACGGACTATATGTCTTGTTCTCCTTTTAAAAAAAAATCATCTTCAGAAGTAGGATGTTTTAAATGGCTCGGTCTAACTTTTATTGTTAAGCTGTAAATAAACTGTTCTGATGCAGGTTCTCTGCTGCAATGTTTGCCTTTGCTCATCTTACACCAGGAGAATTCCCACAGCTTTTTGTGCTTGGTAATTGTTACACCTATAATAGTCATAAAACCACAAAAGATTGTACAATATCTAAATCTTTGTATCTTAACATAGTTACACCAAACACACTGAAAAGATCTCAAAGTCACATATAATATGTAGAATTATTGTGTTAGCATGATTTGACATTTATCGCTGACTATATTTCCTCCATCCATTTTATGTGCACAGGTGTTGTCTTAGGATTTTCATATGCTCAAACTCGCAATCTTCTAACTCCTATTGCCATACATGCTGTCTGGAACTCTGGAGTAATATTGTTGCTAACCTTTCTTCATGTAGATCTTATCTTTCTGGCTATTCTGTTCTAGTCCCTTATTTTTCTTCTAAGGTACAATTCAGTTAGCATTGGAGTACAGGTCAGAGTAGGGGCAACACATCTTACTTTTAAGTTATATGTTTAAGCTAATCTTAAACAGACTGGTTAAAATGTGGTTATTTGAAGTCAATCAGACTAATGAATGTGCTTATTGTGCTCCAGATGCAAGGGTATGATATCAGGGAGCTTTTGCAGGCATCTTGAAGATTTAACTTGGTTAGATTGATTTCGTCCTGTGCTTTCTTGTATCAGAGTATGTCATTATCAAATACACAATGATAGAAATACGTTCTTTAGACAACCCTTTGCTTAACCAGGTGTATTTAGAATTGATGCATAGCATCTAATTAAATTTTTTTCTTAAAGTGCGTTAATATTTTACTGTGTCATGAAGTCGAAAGTTAGAGCTCTAGAAGAAATCATGCTATGTATAATCATTTATTTAAGGCAATTAAATTACAGAAGCCAGCTCTGTGATAATTGTTTATACTTTATGACAGGCATATAATTCTAGTTCTAGTACATGAAACCCCTAAACTTTAGGTTTGGAATATAGGAATTTCACAGGAACAGAATCCTATGGGAAAACAGAAATCTTATGTGACTCCTAGGATTTGGATGAAGCTGCTATACAACATAATATGTTTGGTGGAAATTTAGCTTGACGTTTAATCTCAAGAAATTTTCCTTTGAGTCTATCTCTTGCCAGTGCTGTGTGCTTCTCTATTGTGAAGCATCCAAACAACTTTATTAAGGAATTCCCTTGTTCTAGGATTCCTAAACAATCATGTACAAGATCCTCGATTCTTGTGCTTTTCCTATTCCATTAAGTTTTCCTGTTCACTTTGTTGCTAACCTACTATTTCAATTACCCTTATTAACTCCATGAGTTGATACACCGTACTGATTTTTATATTTTTATTGGGAGCTGTGTTGTTGACACATACTCCTGGCCAAATGAACATATCATTAAAATGTTCTTGTAACTGCTTTCCACACTCCATGGATTAGATGATATTAGCCATACTTAAAGATACACACACCATTCTCTTGTTACAAGATTTTTTTTCCTGTTCCGAGATACACTTTTCTTGTTACAAGATTTTATTCTTTATGAATTCTGTTGCTCAGTAGCCACTAGCCAGGACCACTAAATAGTCAGGTAGCTGTCTATTGGGAAATGTTCCGTCAGAAATATACCATTTTGTTTCATTCGAAGTTTTCTCATCCAGTATCAGTTGTCACGTATAGCTTTATAGAATTGTAGGGGGCACCTTTAATTCTTTTCATCAATCAAGGAAAATACTGATCATTTTATCTTGCTTACTGACTCAAGATAAAAGATGGTTCTATTTTCATGTATCCAAACAGTGTGAACTTCATACTCTATGCTTTAGGGTCACAAACACTTTGTTATGTAGCCATAGATAGTAAGACATGCTTGATGGCTTTTAAGATGAAAAAGATAATACTTGATGGATCCTGATCAGAATCATAGGGAAAATTAGTACCAAGTGTGCCCTAGGATATTGCAGTAGATGGATAAGTAGTGATTCTGATAGTGACCTATGCTTTTACCTGTCTTGTTAATATGTTAGTATGTGAATGTAAACTTGCATTTAATAATGGATTTGATATGTAGGAGGGTCTTCCAAGTTAAACTGTTTGTGCTCTGCTTCAAAGGGATATTTTCACGAAAGTGACTATATTGAGCTGAATTACGGAGTCATCTGCAAAGTAGTAGAAATAGAAACTCTGTTGGGGTTAGAATAATGGTTCTCACCTACATGTAGAAGATCCATATTTTCCTTTGTCTTTCTAGGTCAGGTCGACCCATTTCCCTTTTCCCAGCAGGCATTTATGTATATCAGATTGGCCAAAAGCATCTCATCAGGCTGGGATATTATTTCACCATCTAAAAAAGTTATGTATACCAGACTCTTAATCTTCCAAATCTTAATGATGGTGTTTCTTTTCACTTCGGCGTTTGTGTATGATTGCAGAGAACTGTGAATGACAGTGACATCAAGATTGCAACCCAGGGGCTTTCTTCAATACTGTATAATTAATCAGCAACTGTAGCTGGTGTCTTACCTGGTAACGTTATTTGAATGGTAAAAAATTGATTATGGTGCTATCTTTTGGATGGTTTCTTTTTCCTGAGAACACATTACACACTAGGATTGGGATTTTTTTTTGAAAGAAAATTAGGAATCGAATGTTACATGTTACTTTCTCAGCAATTTGTTATCCATCGCTGTAACGGTTAGAAGTGCCATGGTCGTGGCTTTGGAAGAATTGGAACGGAAAATCCTGTCTTTTGTGTCATCGTGTGCATGGATAAAGATGGAAAGTGTAAACAATGTTCAGTGTATGACAGCGACTGCTTATCTGCGCTGGAGACTAGGATTTAGAGATGATCTGTGGATTCTCCGGGTGATCCCGTCCCCACATGATTTGAGGGGGTGATCCCTTCCTTCAATCCCTTTCAATCTTTTTTGTATTGTTCACGATTTTACATAGGTTACTGGGATGAAACTGGCTGGAACGGTGTAGAATTACTTGTAGTTTGACATGAATTTTTCTTGTCTAGGGTGTTAGATCCCTTGCTGCCCTGCATAGGTAAGCAACTAGCTTACCAGCACACATACTTATTTACTATGGCTAGAGGTAGAAGAAGAGATTGAGAATAACGCGCATACACTCAGCACAAGCATCAGCGTTGGCCGAAGTCCTGCCCTTTGGTTTGTGGCAATTGAACTAAGTATTTCATTGTCCTTTGGATGAAATATATACAACTCTAGTTGTACCTCTACCAGATACATAGTTGTTGGCCAACTACCTACTCCTGAGTACAAAAGTACACCAACTACCTACTCCTAAGATACATGGTACACCAACTACCTACTCCTAAGGTACAGAGTATACCAATTACTCATAGCAGTACAAAGCTTATCTCAGCCCACTACCAAGACATGGTTGATGTAATAGCTACCAACTAATGTACTAGAGGTGGCCTATTGCAATACTGCTATAGCTATAGGAACTGGTCGGCAGAGCCGATCAGTCCCCAACTCCGAACAGGGAGTGGTCGGCCGAGCCGACTAGTCTCCAACCAAGGAGAGAATGGGGAGCAGCAGATTATGTCTAACAATTCTTCCCCTAATCTTGCTGCTAGCCCGATGCCTTGACCTCATCCATGCTAATCATCTTCCTCAGCTCCATGAACCGTAGGCGTCCGAGTGACTTGGTGAGGATGTCAGCAAGCTGTTTGCCGGTCTCGACAAACTTGATGATGATCTGCCCTCCATCGATATAGTCTCGGAGGAAGTAAAACTTAATGTCGATGTGCTTGCTCCGGTCGTGGAGGACAAGGTTCTTGGCGAGGGCGATGGTGGGCTGGTCCACCATTAGAGCTGGCGGGTGAGCTTCCTCGCCTGTCAGCTCGCCCAGCAGCCGGCGCAGCCATACAGCCTGGCACGCCGCCATGGCCGCTGCGATGTACTCCGCCTCACACGTCGATAGCGCCACGATCTTTTACTTCAGCGACTGCCAAGCAATGGAGGCTGCTCCAAAGAAGATGAGCATGCCAGAGGTGCTCCGTCGCCCATCAATGTCGCCCGCCATGTCCGCATCGCTGAAAACAGTGAGCTCCGGCTCACCTTCCTTTGCCTTGGGGGTGCCTCACTGAACACCATGAGCCACAACCCTCCCTTGCCACCACTCTTGGGGAAGATGATTGCTTGATCGAGCGTCCCCTTGACGTAGCGCAGCAACCTTTTCACTATCGACCAGTGATATTCGCGCGGGTCCTCCATGAAATGGCTGACGTACCCAACCGCGAACGCAATGTTAGGTCGGGTATGAGTGAGGTAGCATAGCCCGCCGACGATACTCCGGTAGCGCGCCGCGTCCACATTTGCAGCAGTGTTGTACTTGTTTAGCTTTAGCCGCTCCTCCATCGGAGTCGCGCACGGCTTGCACTCCGCCATGCCGCCGCGCTCCAGCAGCTTCTCCATGTAGGCGCGCTGTTGAAAGGTCCTTGTGAGGTTTTGGTAATTGAGTGACAACCTAGGTGGACTAATTATGTTTATGTGAGATACATAGGTGATTAGTCCATAGGTACATGTGTGTGAGCAACATATGCCATGAAGGTGAAAATGGCTTGGAGATGTTACAAAGCTCACACATGTGATGATGAAGGAGCTCATTACAAATGAGACATGACATTGAATCATGTGATCAAGGTGGAGAAGATCAAGACATGACTTGGCTTGATGGACTGGTTGCAAGCGTGAAGGGCAAGTTGGAGGCTTTGGAGCGATGGACCGCGTGACGGTGAAGCTTGAGCAAGACTTTGCGCCGATGGATGAAGGCAACGGTAAAAAGCAAGTGAAGTCAAGATTGATGAACCAATATGATCACGTGATAATATGAAGTGGATCATATCATTGTTGAATCGTGTTGGTGCATGTGTTGCATCGATATTGGAGGAGATGGAATGGAATGCGCAAGGCAAAGGTATAACCTCGGGCATTTCATTTCACCGGTCATAGGTGTGTAGAGAAGTTTATGACCGGGTTTAGGATAGATGGCCGTACTATTAAGAGGGGTAAACTTGTTTGCATATCGATCATCTAGTGCCACTCGAGTGATCTAACTTTGCATCGTCGCTAGGAGTGAGTGGCGTGGCAAGTTGAGTGGCTAATCCTTTGGAAAATGATTGTGAAAATGCTAACACACATACACATGGTGGTGTTGGCACATTTACAAAGGAGATGAAGTTGGAGTTGATGTCGATCAACTCGGCGATGGAACAGAGGTGAGAAAGGTTCGAAACTCCACCGGTGGAGTGTCCGCCCGTAGAGTGCGGACAGTCCGACAGTGCCACCGGTACCCTGTATAGAAAAGACAGGGTTTCACAGTGTGCACCAGACGCTGGTTATGCAATGACCGGACGCTGGGGTCCTGCGTCCGGTCAGTGGCAGCAGTGAAGGCGCAGGCATCGGTCTTCGATCGGATGCTGGGTGGCTACGTCCAGTCCCGCTGACATGGCAGCACAGTGAAGAGGAGAAATGATCGGACGCTGACGCTGCATCCGATCGTGACTGACCGGATGCATCCGGTCACGATTTTTTGTGACTAGAACCTTACTGGAAACAATCGGACACTGGGGTCCTGCGTCCGGTCACTTTGAGCAGCTG